CTGACAAGTTGGGCCTCTGCTCAATCTTCGATTGGGGTTTGAAAGTAAGTGGTGTAGACGGTGGTGGTGGTGGTGGTGGTTTGGATCCAAGAGTGGGCCGTGACACGGTGACACAGTCCCGGCCCGCGAACACTTCTGACAATGCTGTGCCACGTGACCCTGACGTGACTCTCCTTCGACCTAAACCACACGAACCCATTGAGATCGTCAAAATATCTCTACACGAGATTCTAGTTATCGTCTTACATTTTTCGAATATCTCCACAATTTACATTGATCCTCCTGTGTGCCGGCAGCCAGGATAGCTCATTGCCGCCCTGTACATCTCCATACCCACCGTTGGCTTACCTCGCCGGCAATGCTCATGTTGGCACAGGTGCTACTTCGCTCTCTTCCCATCGTTCGAGCCTATCAAAGGCTTCCTCTCATTTTCTTCTGATCACTGCAGCAGTCACAACGGTTCATGTGGAACGATATGCCATTCGGTGATCTCCCGATTCTTCGTCTTTTGGGACTGTCAGATGGAGCGAGGAATGGAGCGGGCTGGCTGGCTTGGAGGGCGACCCATTGGAAGAAAAGAACTGTTTTCTCGTTCGAACAGCTGCTTCCTGCTGAATAGATGGATGGATGAATGGATGATGATGGTGCGTACTGCTCGCTTTCGCCCCGTTCACTTCTCTGACTATCCTGCTTTCCTGGTCGATTTAGCTGCGCCTGAAAGATTATCTACTTCATTGATACATATTGTCCCTATTTCTACGCTCGGACGTCGAGCGAGCGAATGGATTCCACCCCGTTCCATGTAAGAAGGCTCACCATTCCAGATCACCATCTTCCACCCACGCTTTGGAGCAATACAAAAAGCCCTTTCTCCCCATCTCGAGCGATACCCGAATCAATCATCCCCCTTCCTCGCCGATATCCTTTCTGCTGATATCTCCGTTCTTCCCCGCCGCCTCATCTCCTCTTCCACATTCATTTGCCTGTAATGAGGACCATCGTTCAAGCAAGCAAGCCCCCAGTTACGATGCTCGTCGTGACGATTTCCCCTCCCTCTTGATAATCCGATGGGTATGACCTATCCGGGTGTCTAATTCCACGCGCGAGCTTGTAGTAGTGGAATGAGCAGATCGAGATCGTGTTCTGGAACTCAATGTCTCGTTTTTCTGCTCCGTTTCTCGGCGTCATGGAGTTGTGAGAGCCTTCTCCACTCCTTTCCGAGACGGTCGGCACGCACATCCTCTCTCATCCTGGTTGACTCTCAACAAATATTACCTCTTTATCCCTGCTTGGCGAGCAAAACGGTTGTCACCACGTTTGGGATCAGAAGTACCCGGCCTCTTGCACTACCGAGTTTAAGCGTACTTCGGTAGCCGCTGCAGAAGTTCTGGGAACATCCAAAGCAGAGCTTCGGAGTAGTTCGGAGTAGCACAGAAAGGCTTCCTTCTTTTTTCTCGAGAGCATACGTGCCCTTTGGTGCAAGGAGCAACTTGTATACTCCTCCCATCAATGTACTTATATATTCTTCCCCTACCCGCCGTCACCGTCGTCTACATGGAGAGTCAAGGTTCCATCTCTTTCTCTCCCGGTTTCCCGCGCTCCGCGATTTTACTGATGTTAGTCCGTCTTCAGGTGGACATCGAAAGCACGCCAGTAGTGATAAGACACAGATTGGGTTGTTATGAGGCAATTCTGTTCATGGTCTCTCATCCTTGTCAATTCTCCTCGTACTGTGTTTTCTTTTGTTGGTATATCGCCCCTTCTTATCATCCCGACTACACGTCTCTGTTTGCTCATGCTATTATGCGTGATGCGGTGGGGCTTTCACACTTTAGAGGCTGCGAGGGTTCAAGTAAGCCTGTTCGCTCCGCTGTATGTCGTGGTGGAGCGTCGTGTGTAGGGCCGCCTGGCGAAATGGCATCGCGTCTGACTACGATAAAACAAGGCAGGTTGTTCTCGTAATCAGGAGATTGCAGGTTCGACCCCTGCGGTGGTCAATGTCATGACTTCCTTGGTTTTTGATGTATGATTCGTTCGCTGTCAGTTCCACGACAAAATGACGAGTAGCGCAGCAAGAGCGGTGAACTCCGATGCGAATGATTTTCTCGTCAATCCAGTCTCCTTTCGGACACGCGAGCCTGAGATTGTAAACTGCCACTACGATGTATAAAACTCAAAGTGCTGGGCCAGTGGCTCGTGAGTAGCCTTAACCAAGGTAAGCGTTTGTTCGGATCACCTCATCTCTTGTGAAATAGTCCTTAGGACTGTTTGTTAATCTCACAGCATCCTCGCCCGCAAGTCGCAATAGCGGATTAGGGAGATGACACAGGGATGTGAGAATCTCGGGGCTTCAATAGTTATACATGTACATTGTACATGAACTCAAGTTTCGGTTATCTATAGGCGTGGACTGCCAGTAGGGACTTGAACATCAAAGAGGCTCTTCCATTATGACCCTTGACACCTGATCTCAGCATCAACTCCCGCCAGCCTCTCGCCTCAGCTCTTTCGCCCATGCACCACTTATCCTTAATCGGCGGCGGCGGCGTAAAAGTAGTCCTGTGGAGTTCGTGGTTCCATGATTTGGTGCCTGAAATAATCCTTCAGCGAGACGGCTTTGAGGTGGAAGAGAGTTGCTCACTCGTCTCTCAAATGCTCTCGTAGGACTTCCATCGACCAAAGTTGTTCGGCGTTGACGGTACAATGGGCGCATGACCAGCAAACTCGATGATCCTTCAGATTCAACTCTCGTACCTCCTCTTGTGTGAGAATCTGGAATAACGGATTATCACGTCCCTGGTCCAGAAACTCGTGAGTCAAAGTGTCGTATGAAGTAGGGAAAGACGGGTAGCCTTGGATGACTTGGGTAATCTGCGTGGAACATTGAGTGTTAGCGACAATCTCAACTCTTGTAGTATTCTGACTTATAGAAGGATTGAGATTACCTGAATGTCGCGCCCCTGGTCGTTTATGTCCGGGCTACTGATAAGGCGGAGCTCTTGAAAAGCGTGATTAATCTACATAATCGTCGAGTGTCATGAGCGAACCCCTCTAAAGCAAAGTAAAAAAAAAAAGACCCACACATTCTCTCCATGTTCCCATAAAACCTTTATTCCCTCGTTGTATTTGCTCTCCTCCGTCCGCTCTCGGTAGGCACCTCAGACACTGATACCAACGTCCCATCTCATCCATCTGACTTGCTTTGGCCTCATACATCTTCTCCGCGCCCAAGGTAGCCCAAACAAGTCCAGCAGCCGAGCGTGAACAAAACATGTCCAACGATCTTGTATGATCCGCTAGGCTATAGAACTCGAATTTCCTAGGGAACTCATTCGACCCCAGAAAACACGGTCCCGTTGAATGCCGAATCACCGTCAACGCCGAGCTGAAGACTCGTTGGCAAACCTTACATCTCCCTTGCACGGTTGCCAAATCCTGCAGGATGTCCCTCCAGTCGGATTCAGGAACACGGATTTTTGCATCCGGATCCATCCAGTTCTTGAAAGCCTCCTTCTGTGGACTTCCCATGAAGCTATAGGCGTGACCGAGTCCATATTCGAGGTCGCGAATGCCCCGTCTGAGATCTTGGGCGAAGATGTCGACCGTGTTCGTCGAAGGGGGGTTTTGAACTGTTTCCAACGTGACGTCGTCCTCATCCGGTAAGGCGATGATTCGCCTCATTGACGGTAAACACCAAACGGCTTCCAC